TGTTTTGTAATAAAATTCTAGGGTTATAGTAAAAGTTTAACTTTTGTTTATTTAACTTCTTTAAAAAAGTTACGTTAAATGATACCTAAACAGTAGTTAGAAAGAAATTAAAATTGTAATCTATTTTAAATGTTTCACGATTCTAATTTTTATTTTATTTTATTGAGAAATATTACAATCTGTCTCAGTTAAGGACACTTATAATAGAGTTCAGAGATTACATTCATACCCTACATACAGAAATATAAATAAATAAACTAATAACTAAAGAATAAGATAAAAAAGAACAAAAGAAAATATATATATACACATATCGATTCTAATGTGTCGATTGTTTGAAAAGCTAAGAATAACAATAATTTTTATGCAAAATCATAGGAACATTTAAAAAAAAGTTCTATAAAACCTTGAACTTGAATAGTTGCAAGATAAAAAGTTCTAATCCCGAAATAACATTAAAAAAAAATTGAAAAGATAACAGTCGTACTGAAGCTTATTAAAAATAAAAGTTAAAATTTAGTTTTTTATGTGCGTTAATTTAAACCTAACAGGGTTTTAGACTTTTCGTTTTGGATAAAAATATCATTATATATATTATGAAGTTGTTAAGAATGGATTACAAAAGAATGACATTGAAAAATTGAGAATGTAAGAAAAATTTTGCGGAATAAAAAAAAAAAAGGCGTAATTTAATAATGATAACAATAGACTGATAAGTATACTGTAATTTCCTGTTTTTTGGGAAACTTGGCTTGATAATTAAGTATTTATCTAACACAGACATTAATATTAATAATTAAAATTTTTATAAGTTATACCACTGACACCTATGTCAAAACATTATCATCTATTTCTATTCTGCAAAGCCACATATGTACATTCACATATGCGCTATACAATCAAAACATATTTATCAATAAATACCGATTCCTAATATATATCCACAAGTTTGTTTATTTTGCTTATAGAGCTGATTTTTCTTTAGACTCTGAATAAATAATTAAGTAAAAACTAACAATTTTTTAATTTGTTTTCATACAATTTGTACAGAAGAAATTTTAGCGTGAAGGAGCAAAACATGTTAAAAAGTAAATCAAACGAATTATGTGAGGTAACGTGTGTTATTTCAATAAATTTAGGTAATGTAATAACAATTAACAAGTGATATTTATTACCCATGATATGTTGACTAACTTCCTCCAATAATTCATAAAATTAACAAATGTAAAATAATAGCCAAATAATAATCAAAAACTATATACAAAGAAAAATAAAATAACATAAAGATGAGTAAATTAAAAACATAACAACACATTCATACCTTTATAAAATACAACAATCAGGCTGGGAACCCCAAGCCAGTCTTGCTCCTCTAACTATAGAAGGAAAAGCAGGACTCCAAGAGATCCCTGCGCTACTCTCTCAACCGCGACACTGGTGCCAAAGCCAGTGGAGATTGAGCGAGAGCGCTTTAGCCACATACACTGAGAATATTTAGACACCGAAAATATTTTCATAATATAATAAATAATCATAGTATTCCATTTATGAAATTTATTAACATTAACAACCATAGAAAATGTTAAGGAATGCCAGATATCATTTACAATAAATTACAGCAGGTAGTATTTATGATTAAGTTTTTATAACAGCTAAAATTACTATGACATTATAATTCTCAGTGGAATGATAATAAAATGGCGAAGTTAATTGGATGTTCAAGACTATGTTAATTGAAAAAAAAAAATTATGTGGCAGTTCCAAGTTACATCTACTGATATTAAATCAATTTATTCTTGATAAATACTTTATTTATAATTGTCTATTCGTATCCCTAAAGCTCTTTACAGCTATTAGAATAATATGACTAAAGTATATATTTAGAGAATATGAATTTATTTTCCTTTACTGGATAATATTCCAACTAAATTACACCTATTCACTTCATGCCAAGGCGACTTATGGGTTAATGAAGCTGTAATTAAAATAATAATTACTGATATTTTTTTTTCAAATAACTTTTTATATGAATCACATTTTATGATTAATCATAACGACGTAATTTATGCATTACTTACTGCATTCATATGAAGAATTACTTGAGGTAAAATCTACCTAGTCAACACTAATAAATAAATAATGACTAATAATATATCCATGTTATAATAATATTACAGGGTGTTTTATATTTACTATTTTAATTAGTTAATAAGTTTAATATAAATAATTAACAAAAATAATTAAAAACTATCGATAAATAAATAAGATTTACCTTTTTTATTTGGATGTAAGCAGCGGATGGTGACATTTTACTTACTCGCAAATTATCATGAATAAACACAGATTATATACTTCGACGATTTAAGTCCTTCTCGGTGGGGTACTTGGCATTGAATGAACCGCGAACTTTCGGCCAGTGCCTTTTTGTTACTTGTGGTTCCATCACTTGGCAATTATTTACTGTAGTACGTACTAGTGCTAATAGTTATATATCACGGCCATATAGAATCAAGGATAGGTTAATTATAGACTAATTTTTAATATTTACCAAGCTGCGTACTCTTTTCGTAAATATTAGCTCGTTTGAAAAATCAAAGATCAATGTACGTATGATGAACTATATGAACGATTTATTGTCATTGATTGAATCTGGTCTTTAAGATCGAAATCGGATATTTTATTAAAATTATCATTCATTAATAAATATAATGACAATTACGATAAACACGAAATTATACGTTTGATGCCCATAAATGATATATAAGATAACTTTTAACAAATATCTCAGATCTAGAAGTAATTCCTTAATTATTGAACGTATTAACGTCATTCTTTTAAATACTTGGATAAGTTTGTGACTGATTATTTTAAACTTTGAAAGTAAGCTATTATTCTTTAATAAAAAATATATACCAATCTGTATAGAATTCCTCCTAAAATGTTCAATATCTCAATATTCCATATTTTTTTTTTAATCAAATTTGCTTAATATCTCAATTATTAACATATTATTTAATTACATAGGACTAAATTTATGACGTCAACATTTGATTTTTTTCATTATATTTTAATTACTTCATTACTATCTAGAAAAAAAAAGTATTTGATGCTTAGAAATGATTTTAAAATTCCCTTGACAGATTCAGATTGTATGCATATGCATGACGAGAAATCGTTTGATGGTTCGTTCAGTATGTAAATGCAGTAGGTAATAGATGGCTGATTGATTTAAATTTTTTAATATGGAAATATTTCTATTAATTTCACGTGGAATCGAACTAAAATAATTTGTGATGTGTTGGCTCCAATCAATTCTGTTGAATGCTTCGTAAGTGTTCAATTTCTTAGTTTAATTTATGATTCCTCGAATTCTAGGAGTAGAGAAAACGAGATTGTAAATTTTGACGATTCCTGGTGACGACTGCCTAAAGAATTTGAAAATTTTGAAGAGATATCAGTTTGAAGTACTCAATTGTTCTCTCTCATTTATAAATAAACAAAGCGTCTTGTAGTTAGAAAAAAAAATATGGCATTACTTTCAAATTTTATTGTGGTGCTCCAAACATATTATTAATCTTGAACACAGTATTGAAATACCGATCTTTCTAATTTTCATTAAACGTTGTCTAGAGTTAAATCACCAGATTTAATTTTATTCAAAAGTACACAAAATATTATCTATTATTATAAATGGACATAGCCCATGTATAATGGACATGCGACATCCCATTAAACCATCTAAACACGTATTGGAAGAAACGGCCATATAGGCCGTTTGGCCTATATAATCTCGTTATTTTGAAATGTTGGGTTGTCGGTCCGGCCAAACGGTCCAATATTTTTGTAGGCCACCTTTTTTCTTGATTTTGTAATCAACTTGTCTTACGATTCAGGTGGAAAGCACATGGGTATTTGCGAGTTTTTAGTACCTAATTAAATAGACAAAGTTTGCCGATCTCCAGATTGATAACGTCGATATTCCGAGAATTTTCGTAAGTAAAATACGATGAGATTAAGCTATTTACAAAATTTCAGGCAGATGTTAATAATATGATGAAAATGGGTCTGTACCAAGGACTACAAAGCGAATGCGGTTTTTGTTTTTTTTTTTGCAAAATTTTATAATTCAGAGTTATTTCTTTTTTTTTGTGTGTGTAGACGAATCATATATAATATTACGGATTATGAAATATAGAGGTCATCGGGATTGTGAATATCGAGAGGAATGTGATTCCTAAGAGAGCGAGGATAAGAAGGGATCGTAGCGAATGGGATTAAAACAATAAAGAGAGCGTAGAGAGTCGATAAATAACAATCAGCGTGTTGGTGGTAATAAGTTTGCCTTGTCCCTAATGAGGATTAATGAGGGTCTCTCAGGCGACAGTAATTATCTTCCTTTCTCCTAACCTCGCCACGGTTGGGAAGGGGGGAGGATTTTTTTCGAGTCTGTCTGTCCGGCCAATTAGTTCGCCGGTAATGTTCCTGTCTTCGCCTCGGCTTTGTTTCTATACATTTTTTTCCTTTTGAAACCTTTTCCTGTTTGCCTAGTTCAAAGCGTCTTCGGTTACCGTTTGAACGGAGCCAATGAAGCTACGGGTTAGTTAACGGTTCAAAGGTAATTGCCTCTAATCAGTGTTACCACGCGTGCTGTTGAAAAATTCACCCATCGGTGCAACGCTAACCTAGAACCTTATCAGAGGTATCGATTTTACGATAGGGCGTTTATCGGAAATGGAATTTATTTTGTTGCTTGTTTATTCGGATGTAACATTTTTATGTACACCCTCTAGGGTAGATAGGACTAGTTTGGAAAATATGGGACAATGGTTGGAATATATTTCAACCCAAAGGAATTAAACCTTGAATCATTTCCTTGCATGGTGAGGGTGTTTCCGAACTCGAAGGCCTTGTTTCACCTATTCCCGCTGACTGTATTATCTGGTATGTTACGCCTTGCAGGAAACACCTGGCTGGGGATGTTAGAAGATAACAGGACCCGCTTATCTGCTACCTAATCTATCATAGTTTCGTTGTGTACAGGGCTCGGCATAAGCCATCCATCTTAGTGGCACATACCTTCTGCTGTAAGGAAGGTCCGGCAGTTGGTTCTGCTGGACACGAAAACTGAGGCAGGTGACATTACCACTGACCGTGATCAAGTGCTCACCGGTAGGCCACGAATGCATCAATCGATAGTGCGGTGGCATAAGGCAGTGCCATTCTCAAGTGAACAAACCAAATCAGAGGCGAATCATCTATCACTGGACGATGTTACACGTATTATGACTTGGTAGTGCAAGAGGCCTTACTTTTAATAAAATAAATTATATAAATAAAAAGTATTATTTAATAAAAAAAAGTGGCTGCTAAAAATAAAGGCATATTAAAGACAAGACTAAGATACATTTTTATTTGCTTTTTTCTCGCAAGTGTTTCTCACTGAAGCATTGAGTTACACGTTGTCCAAACATATTTTCTTATCCATTCAATCATACAGTAATACTCCCAAAGGTAATACACTTCATCGATTTCTTACCAATTGAAATAAGGACATTATGAAGGATATTCGTATAATTACAAAACAGGTTTAACACACTGCTATTTTATTTACTGTCCCAGTCCGAAATATTTCTTCTCCTTAACGTCCGATCATTTCCTTCTGCTCTCAGTAATGACAACAAGAATGGGATAACACCGGGAAATGTAAAATTACCCGGCAATAGCCAGACCGACTGTCCATAATACAAGAGAGCCGGATGAGTGTATAAGGGTGCACCAGTGTTTGCCGAGCGGACCGTAGCTCTGTTATTAGATACTTATTGTTTAATTAAGGGCCACTCCCGCCTTATATATACTCGGAATTATTTAACCTAACCTGCGCCTTATGTTTATTTAAGCCGTCGAACCCGCCCGGCCCAGTTTCGTCTTTAATTATTGAGTTTTCGCACACCCGAGGTTCCTAGCTAACTCTGTTTTATACCTATCGGGATGTGGTCTGCAGGGGCCATTTCATCGGTTGTTATATCTTCAATTATTCACTATTTATGTTTTAGATGAAATATTCATAATGACTTATTTATACAAGGTACCTGCTAACTGTTTATTTAGAAAAAAAAAATAGAAGTCTACCTACATACGGAGAATGAAAGAAGATTCAAAAGCAACAAATACAATTCATATTTATAAGTCTATCTTAAAGGCGTTGGAATATTAAATTCGCACAGCTGAAACTGAAACGGATAGTAGTTTTTTGTTTTTTACTATAAAGTTGATATTATTTTACTAATATATTATATAGGTTAATTCTATAATGTAATAAATAATATAGGTTATTTCCTTTTTCATAGACCTACGTTTTTTATTTTATTTTATTTATTTTTTTTGCCATTATAGATTTTTTGCCGCCTTAACAAGTCTCCTCCATCTCTCTCTAACTTGGACTATTTCTTTGCAGATGTCTGCATGCAGCTCTATAGCATCTTTTTATACGAGAATATATATATATATATATATATATATATATATGTATATAGTGACCTGGAACTTATTTCTGGTTTTCAAGAACGACGGACTTTTATAAATGAGATAAAAAAAAAGTAAAAAATGAATTAAGTGACGAATCCTAATTTCGGTCCTTAAATTAGTAAATTAATAAAATTGAATAAAACATGTAAGTGATATCCGATGGTAGCAAGTTGGGGATAAACGAGTTTATAATAAAATATTCCAAAGTGAACAATTTAATATTTTGTAGATAACAACGCAGCTCACCACCGTAATTCTAATAATAACCTCGTAGATACAAATACTAGCCTTGTATATTTGAGAGATGAATCCTTCATAAAATAATTTTTTTTTTTTATTGTATTAAAGAAATACATTTAGTAAATTTGAACATATGGATATAATGACGTGAAAACACTTGTTGAATAACTACCCAATAGTAGCACTCTAATGATATGTCTACATTAGGAGATTAGAGGGCCATCTTCTTTTCAGACGCCTCGGGAAAAATAAATAAATAGCTAAAATGAATGTTGCTCATTTATTCGAGGAGCGTTTATTACCAGGTAACTAAACATTTTACAAAACGGTAATATCACAAAATGTTCCATTAAGTTAGGCATGGAAAAAGTATTTAAAATACCAAAAATTTTGAATTTTTAAAACACAGTTTATTTTAATTACGTAGTGTTTAAATTGTTTTAAGACAAGGTATTTTAAATACAAAGTACCAAAAGTATTTTATATATTAATTTCAGAAAACAAAATACTTCTTGGTTGACTTTCAGCCCATAATACCGGAAATCTACTATACGTAATTTATTTTTGAGGGTTCAAAATACAAAAACGAATATTTTTTTGTATTTTGGTAAATTGAAAAAAAATACAAATACTTTCTTTTTATTTTAATAAGAAAATAGAGTTACAACCAATCTATTTTATATTTTATTTATGAAAACGCAGAATAGAAAACATCAGGTATGAGTAATACTCGCAACATTCTTTCAAAAAGATAATTGTAGTAGAAATATTTAATATGAAACATATTTAATATCAAAATTAAACGTGACGATATATAAAGAACGCAGTTAAAATAAAACGTATATATGTTTTAAGATTTTACAGGTTAAACTGAGGATAAATTCTTGTTTATTTCAGTTTAGCTGACCGTCGTTTCTAATCTGAGCCACCCGGGCAGTCTCAGCTACCGATTAATAAAAACGTTAATTAAGGAGATTAATTAAGGTTTTGATTAATTAATTACGAAGAGGACTTGGTCACCAGCGGGGCCGCCAGCTTTAATTAGTTCTCATTCCATATTTCCTTCTTTTTTTTTTTTTAAATTAATCTTGTATGTAGCTATTGGTGGATGAGATATATTTTTTTTCTTTACGAGAAATCAAGCTTATTCAGCATTTATATAAAATATTCCTCATTTTATCTTAATTTATTTATTTTTTTGGTCAGAAATACCTTAAAACTCCGTCATTACCTTTGTAAATTGATTGGACGATATCAATTTCAAATTATATAAATATAAAGTCGTGGGAGTTTCATAAAGTTCATCGAATTCGGACATCCTTGGATTATTATACTTTTGCAAAACCAACGCTCAAGGATGTGTACAAATCGGTTGAAATGATTTCAGATATCATAATATAAACTTTTAGGGGCATTTCAATGCGATATTGAAAAAAAGACTGCCATTTCTGTTTGATACATAATCACATATTAAGAATAAAATTTATGTTTTTGAAATACAGTTATGTTAAGAAAAATACGTTTGAGCATGCGTCAGCGAATACAGCAGATGGGATATAATAAAATTAAAACTAAGCTAATTTTACAATAGCCCCCAACTTTTCTTCAACTTTGGATCAAATTGAACGACTGTTTTTATTTATTCTATATTACAGTAAATATGTTTGCGCATGTGTTAGCAAAAGATACTCCCACAAACCATGAAAATCTCATTAAATTCAATATATTCTCGTCATCTTGATTTGTTCAGCTAAATGTCTATTAGAAAAAAAAAGTTACCCTCGTAACTGGATGGTAAAATGGTAAAATTAAATTCCGAATAACTCAAAAGTTAATTGTTATAAGTAAATTAATAATTTAAGATAAATAAATATCACACACATATTTCCGATTGTAGCATCTGCAACGCTATTAAAAAATCGATTTTCTCACATAAATTTTTTTAAGTGCCTACTGTTTAAGGGTTGAGAAAAAAAGGAAGTAATGAGCCAAATGTATAATTCTCATTAATTTAAAACGACAATGAAACAGAAGGCTTTGTCTTGGTTTTGAATGAAAAAAAAAGAGGTGGAAAAAGAGGTAAATGAATGAAAAGTACAAAAGACTAAATCGTGACTTATTCGGATGATAAAGGGCTCATTAGCATGATCCCAGGGCGGCCGGTTACCTAGCAACCGCACAGCACAAAGGATAGCTAAGGCCCCTGGTCACTCCTACTCTCCTATCCTCTTCCACTCCCGCTCTCACTCTCTCTCTCTCTCTCTCTCTCTCTCTCTCTCTCTCTCTCTCTCTCTCACACACACACACTCACACAAAAACTTACTCTCTATATATATCTTACTTTATATATGTGTGTGTGTGTGAAAAATGTGGGTATTTGAAAATCATTCTAGTTGAAAAATTTTGATAATTAGGAGATGAACATTTTACAAAATAAACTTTTTTGAAAGAGCCACATATACTAATTAACATAATCACTAAGCTATGAGTAATTTAGATATACGGATAATTGAGGGTAAAATCAAATCTTTATTGATTAAGGAGCGAGTAAGAAAGAATAATTATCATCCTCCAAAAAAATTGACTAAATCGAGAAGCCAAATTAATAGTCCAAATACAAATTCTAAGTGGTAGCCGAAAAAATATCGATCAAAAACAGGTAGAAGGAACGGATAATAAAAACGTCTCGCAGGTCAACAAAAACAACAGCTGTTGAGAGGTTACTAATGGATTTGTCAAAAAGAATTATGCGACTTAGTTTTGCTGAATTAAGAGACGAATAAAACTGGTTTCCTAAAACATCATCGATATCGATACATTGCGTCGGGGAATGCCAGGAAGGAGCAATTGTAACTGTAACGGTTTTACCATTGCAACTTTCGTTATAAAATAGAAAATAAATATGTTGTATTTAGTGTATCTGTTTTTTGCATTAAAATAATTTACAAACAGGCGCAACTTCGATGCGTGTCCCAGGCGTTATTTTCCATTGATACATCCCTAGATTAATGTAAACGTTCATTATCTGGAGGGTTTACATTTATCTGCATTCGAAGTTCTATGTATTCCGTGATCGATAAGTTATTTTTTTAAACATTAGCGTTAGTGTATAACAAGCTATTAATGCTCCTGATTAGTTTTCCGGTCGAACAGACTGGTACTATGAGGATCAAGGCACCCCCATGCAGGAAGTGACGTCACCCCCTAGCCACCCTTACGGGATTATTTTTAATCCTGACAAACGGACCGAGACTATTAACATAATTATTATGCAGAGAAGTGGAGGAGGGGGGGAGGAGGAAGGAGAGGGTAGAAAAACGAGATTAGCTGCACGGGTTGTAGGGGAAGATGAACGGGGTCAAATGGAGGCTGTCATATGCTGGAGTTGTCATATCTACCAGCTGCTGTCTCGGTAGTGATAATATCATTTCATATTAAAATA